ATTAATAACAGCAAAAAAGTCATAATGGAATCTGTGCGCCTTAAACAATGGAGATTTCAATATTTATTGGCGATAAATGATTTTAGAGAAGCTGACAGAACAGTTGTGTATTTGTATGAAACTTGATTCGGTACACACGATATGCCAAACAAAAGTTGGGTAGACTCATCTGACTTGTGCCAGACTAATGCGCCACATAATAAAGACAAACGTATTACTATAATACACGCAGGAACTAATAATGGTTTTATACCTAATGCGTTGTCGTTATCGGCAAAAAATATTAAGGACTCCTTAGTCGATTACTATGACGACACCACTGCCGAATTATTTGAAGATTGGTTCCAAACTAAACTTTTCCAAATATTCCATCCAACAGTGTTATCATCATGGATAATGCCAGCTATCACAGTCGAAGACTACATAAGGCACCTTGTTCAAACGACATAAAAGCCATCATATAAGATTACATGGTAAACAATGATTTGTACTTTGAGGAAAAGTGCACAAAAAGCAGTTACTGGAAGTTTTAAAAAACTATTCAATACAAAAGAAATATTTTTGTGACACATTAGCTGATAGTTTGGGACGGTGCTCAAACGTCCTCCTTACCAATGTATGTTTAACCCAATTGAACATATATGGCGTCACCTTAAGTCAGCAGTTCAAAGAAATAATACTTCTCCAACCTTAAGTTCGACTGTTGTAGCTCTTATTCAAACAGAAGCTGCAAGAATTCCTGATAGCAGCTGGACCAAGAGTGTTTCCCATATAAAAAAGTTGGAAAAGACATATATTGATATAGAAAAGATACCAAGAGAAAGGTTCATTATTTATTTGGATGACGATAGTGAAAGTGAAACTGAACTTCCTGAGTAATTTTGTTTAAATAAATAAAATATTAGAAAAAGAAATGTAAAAATTCCACTATAATAATAAAAATACTTATCTGACTAATTCAAAATCTACAATTGTTCCAAAAGCATAAACTCGTTAGTATTGACAATAGTGGAATTTTTACAGTTCATTTTTAAATATTTTATTTATTATGAATAGATTCACAATGTAAGGGTAGAAACAATCACTATGACCTAGCTACTTGTTTGTACTTTGTCATACTGATTTTTATTTTTACCAAGTTACCACTTTATACTTTTGAATAATTATATTTTATATGTTCAACCTACATTCTGTACTTTTAAATACTTTATTTTCTACTGTTTAGTACTTTGTTACCTACCTATTTTTGTACACACTGTATAATTAAATAAACAATTCTGAATTATAGCGATTTTCTTAATATTTATTTTACCCCAATTATTGACCTATAGAACAAAACTTAATGGCCAGAGTAGATACGTCTCTGTCTAGAGACGGCCGCCTGCTGATAAGTAAATTATCTGCTGTTTTATGGTAGTCACTAGATCTCTGGTTTAACTATACTGACATTATTTCCAGGGTACTGACATATAAATGATTATTTTTTTTACCAATCGAAAGATTTGTATAAAATTGCAATAAAATTAAATTCAATGTGCATTAGATTGTAGTTATAAGAGGTACATTTGACATAAAAAAATGAATTTTGATAGAAATTTATATATTTAATTTCAAAAATGAGAATCGGACATGCCACGGTACTGATATTTTGAGTATATTTATATAGAGCTTAAATTTTTTTTGCAAAGGTTCATAATGTGGGTTGTAAAATACTTCTAAATTTATAATATTAATAACTTTTTGATGAGGAAAACTTATTCTAAACGATATATAAAATACTGGACATAAAAAATCACAGTTATCCGAGAATCACCCATATGTTCATATTCGATTGAAATTTTTTTTGAAAATACTTGTTGAATCACATATACTTTGATTGTTTCATGTATCTGTGTGTTTTTAGTTTTTATAATATTTGTTATATATTGTATATTACTGTATTTGTTAACCTAAGTAATTGATTAATTTTAATATTTTAAGCTAAATGTTCTGGTTTAAGCATAGAAATAATATAGAAGACCAATATAAATATAACATCCAAGCAGAAATTGAAACCTACTGTGCATAAAAACGCGTCTCTGCGCCTGACATCTCAAAATAGTGTGTCTAGAAGCATGCGTAGTATGCATGACTTGTCCCTGTAGTGTTGCCAAGTATATATAAACATACCTAACACAAAATAATTTCAAATTAATTTATTTTTAAATTATATGATTTAATCAGTTTATATCTACGAAATATCGCCACAAAATACCTTATAAACATTTAAATAATCAACTAATAATATTTATGTGTAATTACATTCCCAAAAATATATACAAATACGGTATTAATGTACAACAAGCGATTCACCTACAAATTCAATATTGACCTGGCAACACCACTTTTATCCGGTGTTTCAAGGCTCTATGACGCTGCCGTTACAGGACCGTTTGTGATATTTTGGCTTGAATTTTTATGAATTTAAATGAATATTTAATTACACATTTTATTTTTAGTTTCGTGTAGTTTTAAGTTAAATCATAGGTACAATAAAAGACATTTTTACATTGGCTAATGAAAATGTAATCAATGTATTTAGCAGTTGTTATATTTATTACAAGATTTATGTCTAGAAATCTAAACCTACCTAAGAATTATAATTATGTAAATAGAGAGCTGTATATTTATAGGTCCAGCGACGGGGAGACGTTATCGGTATCTGACAAAATAATGAATGATTTTTTTTTTAAATAGTAAACAGGCTATGATCTTTCCATCTAAAATATTTTGACAGTTCTGTTATTTCCTTTTTATTTTAAATGAGATGCCACTTCTATTATTCCTGATAGCGATGGAACATGAAATGTTGCTTATTTGGAATATATACCTTTACACAATGCTCATGACGTCAGAGACAGTTTCAGTCGGGTATAATTTAAAATAAATAATTTTAAAATGAACCGTATTAAATTGTACCTGTACCTAACATTTATGGCATCACTGGCCGAGTTGGCATCGGGTATATTTTCAAATGTAGAAACTGAAAATTAACCCTATTAAATTGTATACTTTTAAATGCGGGTTTCAAGGCATTTTAAAATATAAACCCGATCTCAACGAACTTAGAAATTTCTGTCACTCGATATTTTAATCGTTACTTCCTCTTCGCTTTTTGGCCGGCACAACAATTATTTACATTTCTTCATTCCTTACCGCGTGCGAACCAGTACGGTTTAAAGAAATTTTAAAAAACCTACTTTAAAAATGAAGATGTTAATGATTTTCTCATGGATCCCATCTTCAGATCTTGACTTAATTTACATAGTATTATTCATTTTCTAACAAAAAGAGAATCATAGAAACCGGGCAACATGGTAAAGAATTATCGCTCAACATACATAAAAAAATATTTCAACGAATTGAGAATATCCTCCCATTTTAAAGTATGTTAAAAAAATTGTTAATAAAGTGCAAAGTAGAATGATAACATATATTATGAAGAATATAAAATGATAAATAAAGCCAGTTTAGAAAGTATTATAAATAAACTGTGGAAATATCGAGAATCTCGATTTTGAATCGGAAGAAGAGTATTCTATGCAATTTAGAATGAAAACTGATCAAAATGAAACAAACGAACGACATGCTAATGTTATTGACAACTTTCTTCAAACATTTTCTAGTTTTCCGAAAACTAACTGGATAGTTCGAAAATCATTTCCGCCGTTAAAGCGCCTCTTGTGTGAAACACGCCTGTCAACATTCATCGTTCAACAAAAAAAAGTATTAGATACAAAACGCTTCGTATTATAAGGCCAAAATATATTTAGAAATCAAAAGAGTCATATAAACAAAAAAATCATTATAAGTAAGATAACTACCAAATTAATGATTTACAAGTTTATTCTTATTATCTATAAAATAGGTTTGCAATGTGCTGATGTGGAATGTTATCATCGACTAAAAACTTTAAATCTTTGTGTTAAATTGATCGAAAACAATCCATAAATTGGTTTAGACTATATAGAATGTTTCTAATAAGCAGCGACTAACTTTTATTATGAAACCGAAAGACCCTTTTAAAAGGGTTTAAAATTAAAATAAAATATGTACCAAGTACCAAGTAAATGTAGTAGTATTTTTTAATTTTTAATCTTGAGAGATGCAGACTTCTTTGGATAATCTATATTGAAAATGGTAACATGAAAGGTTTTTTGTCTAATTGTAAGTAACGAGTCACTGTCTTGGCTGACAAAATGTAAAAAAATATCGAACATAATATTCCTGGGCGAATCGCAACTGCCCCCTATTTTGCACTACTTAAATTAAATTTACTTGTAGCAAATGATACTAAATCAAATAAGATGTCAAATCACAAGCAAAATCTCGTGACTGCAGCACTAATGATTTCTGAAAATTACCCAATTCATTTTTCATGCCATATTTTTCTTTCAAAAACATATTAATCTTACTTGAATTTTTTTTCATCGTTTTTTATATAAAAGCATCTCTAAAAATGTATGAATAAAACATGGTTTGAACTATTTGTTCGATCAATAAAAAACTTGCACCGGTCCTGTTCGAGCCAGCACCGTTATACGCATGAGCTCCCACACACTATTTTCTCCTTACGGTTTCATTTTTGATATATGGAATCGGCTTTCTATACTATTTCTATGGGTTTAAGCTAGACATTTTATATCATAGTTTTCCAATAAATTCAATTTCTATTCTGTAATAAAACTATTGGATTTTAAACCACTTTCAACATTTTGCCAAATTTAAATTATAATTGAAGTAATATATTTTTTCCCATGCTTGATTCGAAATAAATCAAGAAATGTTAGTTGGATAAAGCTAAGCTACTTCAACTGTTTTATTAAAAAAAATAGTAATATAAATTGAGTTTTGTAGAAATGTTCTAATGATATTTGCTTTGTAAAGACCAGATTTTGTTCACATAAGTCATCACTTGTATTCCAAAGCATAATTAACATTAAGAAATTTTAATTTTTTAGTCCTCCAACCAAAAATCTCAAGATACGTCAAATATACCAGTTACACCTACAAATAATAGTAATAATAATAGTAATCCAATGGAACAATCGCCACCCACGAGCACGAATACAAGTAACAGCAGCAATAATAATAATAACCCTCCCCCTCCGCCAATGGCAGCTATTGAACAAGAAGATGAATTCGCGGTATTAAATGGATTAGTACCAGAAAGCGTCAGTCGAGCAGTGAGCGAACTTTTATTGCGACCGCCGCCTAGATTAAAACCCCGACCGCCAGGTGTCACTAGTCAGAATTTCGACGAAGGGATGCCCAGTACCGCAGGAGATGTTACTAACAAAATTAATTCTATAGCTCACAGGGTAAGTAAAGGTGTTATAATAGCTATTTTGTAACGTATTACATGCAAGATTTTTTCTAATTTTGACTTGATTATTTATTTGTGTTTGGTTAAAAAATGATTCACCATCATTCTTTTGCGGGTACTTCCAATCAAATATTGCAGACAATTGTTGTATTTGATTGCCCTACGACGTTTTTTTTTTTTTTTTCAATAGTATTAAATAAGTGGCATGTGCGGTATTGCCGGTGACATTATCCGCGGGAAATTTAAAAGAAAAAAACGTTTGTGCCCGTTATCCTTACGGAGTACGTCAAAATTAATTTTACCCTCAACATTTCTAGGCAGTTTTCAATAACGATGTTTAATTATATATAAAAAAATAAAACTTAATTTACAGCTTTTATTTATTTATTTTTATTTGTAATGTGAAATGTCACTATTCATTGCTTTTTTTTTAATTTTTAGATTTTTCAATTTTACGATTTTTCGATTTTTTTGATTTAAAAACCAGAAAAAAACAGACATTTTTATTTATTTTCATTTCATAACTGGTGATATAATAAACTTTTCGTAATCAGATGCATAATAGTTTACTTTTTTGACACTTGCGATTACAAAAATGGCACTTTATTTGTCAAAATTTGAAAAAAAAAATTAATATAATTTTATAAAAGGTGTTTAATATATTTTTGTTTTAAAATCGAAGGTTAATGCTTTTATAACAACTTTGAAGAAATACAATCATTTAATTTTTACCACTTCCTTTTTTGTATGCTTCTTTTCCGAAGTTTATATATAATAGACCAACATGTTTATATCTTTGGATAGGTAAATTCATATAACGAATTTTACGTTAAACAATATACATTTGAAAAAAAAAATAAGTAAATTGAACTTAAAATTAACCATATTTAGGACATGTTTCAAAAATATTCTGTATAAAATGAATCAATTGTATCATTATTCATTGGCTTGGTATCTTATAAGTGGGATCCGGACAGTTTTTCGAATGATAATTATTCGAACGACATTTATTCGAATGGACAGTTATTCGAAAAGACAATTCTTCGAACTGATAATTTTTCGAATGTACGATTCTTCGAATAGACAATTTTTCGAAATAAGTTGGTTTTATTTTATATAATTTAATTTTAATTAGTATTATAATCCCATTGAATTTTGAGAACAGGTAATCTTCTAAGTAAGGTTTTATTTTATGTAATTTAATTTTAATTAGTATTATAATACATAATAAATTTAGTTTTGAGAAATTGTAATCTTTTAAATAATTGTTTTATGGTTCAGATTAAATGCCATCCCTCTAATAAATAAGCAGGTAATTATTATTCCGACCATTTTAAACTCTTACATTAAATGGTATAAAAGATGAAAACATTTTGACATTGTATTCAGTCTGATTTTAGTGTTTATAAAGATGCCTCTCGAATTCCTTTTTAGTGAAAAAGGAAAAAAAAGTTATTTTTGAACGGATTTTTATTCGTTAAAGACAAAGCCGTTGATGAAAAAACATATTGGAAGTGCAAGTTCTTTTTGTCTAAGAAATGTAAATCGCGAGCAATTACAAGCCATGATGATGTTTGCAAAGAGACTTCTCACAACCACCCCGCGGATGCAGCAGAAGTAGATGCCATACGTTTTAAGAATAAACTGAAGGACAATGCTCGGACAACAAGAAACACTCCACACTACCTAGTATCGGCACTATCAAGTGAAGTGGACAAACTAACAGCAGCCAAACTAAGTAAAGTAAATAGTTTAAAGCGAACAATACGCAGGGAAAGAGTGAAAGAAAACATGGAACCCACACAGCCGAAAAGTCTAGAGGAGTTGTATCTACCTGATTCTTTTAAAACCACCACAAAAGGCGAACCATTTCTACTTTTCGATTCTGGAAACATTAAACAAAGAATTCAGATTTTCAGCACGAAAGACAACCTGGATTATCTACAAAAAGCTGAATACATATACATGGATGGAACTTTTAAGACTGCACATATGCTTTTTTACCAGCTCTACACCATACATACATTTATAAACGAGGAATCTGTACCACTGGTATATGCACTTCTACCTGATAAATCAAAAGACACTTACATAAAGTTAATTTCGGCCCTTAAAGATCTAGCACCAGCTCTCAGACCGCAATCGGTTCTAATAGATTTTGAAGCAGCGATGATAGGAGCGATACATCAAGAATTTCCGAATGCAACTGTACAAGGATGGTTCTTCCACTTTTCACAGGCAATTTACAGAAAAATTCAAACAGCTGGCTTTAAACAGCAATATGACACCGACAAAAACTTTGCACAGCACATGAAGATTTTAGCTACATTAGCTTTCGTACCTACAAAATACATACAGCCATTTTTTAATGCATTAAGCGATGATTTTCCAGAAGAAGCTACCGAGGTTCTGGACTACTTTGAGGAAACATGGATTGGGATGATTCGTCGCGGTCGTCGAAGGTCACCGTTGTTTGATTGGGAAATGTGGAACTGTGTTAATAATGTTTTAAACAGTCAACCCAAGACTAACAACCACATTGAAGGTTGGCATCTTGCCTTCGAAAGCCAACTTTCGGCTAGCCATCCCACAATATGGAAGTTTATTACCGCAATTCAACGCGAACAATCCTTAACTGAAATGAGAATTTCTCAATTTTACTGTGGAACTCCCGCTGTGCCGAAGAAAACGAAGTACTTACAATTAAATATTAGATTACAAAATATTATCACTCAGTTTTCTCCTAAAGACCCTATAGAATACTTAAATCGTATAGCTTGTAATTTGTCTTATAAATAAGTTCCTCGTTTCTTTTGTTATATAGTGTATTATAAATAAGTCATGTATTAAAAAGAATTAATTGGAATAAAATCATTATTTTTATACAAAACGCTTTTTATTTTTGACGTTCTAGTGTCGCACCTGTGTCAGGTTATCAAAAAAATAAATTATCTAAATTGAATTTCAGGTGCGACACCGAATGTTTTTTGTTTAAATTACCTACACTTTATCATTCCTCAATAATGTATTTTCGAAAAATGGTCTGTTCGAACAATGGGCTCTTCGAAAAACTGGCCGTTCGAATAACTGTCCATTCGAAAAACTGTCGTTCGAAAAATTGTCATTCGAAAACAGTCCTAGATCTCTTATAAGTTTGTATTTTAAACAATTTTTAAATCATTACTAACCTTCCTAAATTATGATAATTTTATTTGGGGTCGGAATTCTCTAAATTCAAAAAATAATTGCTTTGCAACCCTGTAATATTTTTCATAAATATTCTTGGCTTGGATACAGTATTACTAGGCCATTCAAAAACTGAAATAAAATAAAATTGTTTTCAGATCAATATGCTTCATCCACTTATAGAGCTTGATTTTTACTTAAAATTACATGTTGATATCACTTTTCGTTTTTGATTTATGATTTTTTTTAAGTTTCAACTTCCTTAATCCCCCATACATTTTAATTTATAGACTTCGTCCAATTATAGAGCTTGATTTTTTTCCTGAAAATTTCAAGTTGATTATCATTTTTCGTTAATTAGGATTTTTTAAATATTTTAGCCCCTTTTAACCTCACTCCCATTTTGATATCGTTTTTGTTTTATTTTTTTTTTTTATTATTATTATTATTTATGTGAGTTCTGGTCCAATAAGAGTTTTTTCTCGGTCCCTTCCTTGCTAGGAGGTCTGCTTTCTCGTTTCCAAACACTCCCTCATACCCTGGCACCCATTCAAGGGTGACCTTCTTATGTTCTGCCAGGGCCTGGAGGGACTGTTGGCAATCAAATATTGATTTAGATTGTACTTCTACCCTTTTCAGTGCCTGACTGTCATGATAAAGATCCTCTTATCTCTAAAAGACTTTGGCGCAGGCATTTATTGCTGTTACTTCAGCCTGGTAGATCACAGCTCCTGTGCTGTTTTTCATTTTCGAACCGTCGAAAGTTCCTATCCAAATCCATTAGTAAACAGCCTGTATGCCGCCGCCATAGCCTCCTTCTCCACCCCAAGGTGTAGAGAAGGAAGACCTAACAGTAGCTCCATTGCTGCTGTGGGCGTAGTTCTAAATGCCCCTGTTATTATTAGACAGGCTAGTTTTTGCACCTTGTCTAATTTTCTGTTAACTGTTATGCTTGGTTTAAGCTCCTATATGTTCCCTACCATTCGTCTACAGACCCAGAGTATTTTGACAGCTTTTTCTGTTGTTTTTTCTATATGGCTGTAGAAGCTAAGCTTGTCATTAAGAGTGATTCCAAGATATTTAACCTCTTCTGCCATTTTTAGATGTCCCCACATATAAAGCTCCTTCATGCCTTGAAGGTTCCTTTTTCTTGTGAATGCAACAACAGAGGTTTTTGTCGGGTTTGTAGACAATTCCTCTTTTAGTTACCATCTTTCGACGATATTTAGGGCCCGCTGCATCCTTTCGGATACAACAGACCCAAATTTACCCTTTACTACGATGCTTATATCGTCTGCAATTGCTTGCGTGTATAAGTTTTCTCTCTCTCTAACTCCCATAAGAGGTCATCAACCACCAAGGTCCACATAAGAGGAGATAACACTCCTCCTTTGTTATCTGAGACCTCTCTTGTTGAGATTACTGGAAATGGTTCTATGATTAAGCATGAACTCAACCCACTTCGTAATGCAATGGGCTACTCCACGCCTGTGCATAGATCCCAGTATTGAATTGTATGAAGCCGAGTCAAAGGCTCCTTCTATATCTAGGAAGACTCCTAGTGCTATTTCTTTGCTTTCCAATGCTTGTTCAGCTAGCCTATGTATGGCTGCATCGCAAGACTTTCCAGATTTGTCGGCAAACTGGTATCGATGTATCGGTTTATCCCGTAGAACATCGTCCCGTATACGAGGGTGGATCAAAAAGTACCCGTGCTAGAAAGGAAGAGGCAAGTTTTTCAAAAAAAAAAATATTTTTATTTTACAACGTAAATTCCTTTTAGTGCTATACACTTTTCCCAACGTTTCTGCCATTTATTTAACCCATCCAAAAAATATGATTTCTCGAACTCCGCAAAATACGCTTCAGTCTCGATGAAAACCTCCTCGTTAAAGCTGAATTTTTTCCCCGAGCCTCGTTTTCATGTTGGGAATAGAAAAAAGTCGCATGGAGCCAAGTCGGACGAGTACGGTGGGTGCGGCAGCAATTTGTACTGCAGTTCTTGCAATTTGACCGCGACAATTCTCGATGAATGTGCTGGTGCGTTATCGTGGTGAAACAGGACTTTTTTTCTTTGCCAAATGAGGCCGTGTCTCCTTCAATTTTGCATCGAATCGTTCCAGTAATTCACTATAGTACTGCCCTGTGATCGTACTTCCTTTCTGCAAAAAGTCGATGAGGATTATTCCCTTGGAATCCCAAAAAATCCCAAAACTTTCCAGCCGATGGGACCGTCTTTGCTTTCTTCGTAGCAGATTCACCCTGAAAAATCCATTGCTTCGACGTCATTTGGTCTCTGGCGTATAATAATGTAACCAGGTTTCATCAACGGTGACGACTCGACGCAAAAACTCCTGCAAATTTCGATTAAAGAGCTCCAAACACTGCTTCGACATTGACATCCGTATCCGCTTATTGTCCACCGTAAGCAATCGCGGCACCCATCGTGCCGATACCTTTCTCATGTTTAACTTATCATGCAAAATAATAATTGCCGTTCCGTATGATACGCCTACGGCCTCTGATACTTCTCGCGATCTGCGACAATCATGTCTTGGACGTTTTTAACGATTTCCTCGGTAACAACGTCTGTCGGGCGACCTGGTCGCTCCTCATCAAAAACAGATTTACTGCCACGTTTAAATTCGTTGAACCAATATCTTACGGTTGGTACAAGTGGCTGCCAAATAAAAACCAACCTATGAATCAGTTTGAAATTTAGTATGATATCGTGTGACAGATGACAGTACACGACAGTAATGCCAACTTCCATCAGCAACGCCACCTGCCTTCAAACACGGTTACTTATTGATCCACCCTCGTATATCTATCGATCAATTTCTCCTATGTTTATAGAAAAAATTTTGTTAGGCTGATTGGTCTGAAAGATTTGGTTTCCTCGTAAGACGCTTTCCCGGGTTTGGAAATGAAGACCACTTTTTCACACCTCCAGCTTTGTGGAACATATCCGAGGGCTATGCTAGCTCGGAATAATTTACACAGTGATCCCTCCAGTGCTTCCTTGCTTCCTGGTCCTTTTGTAGAAGTGCCGGGATTATACCATTAGATCCAGCTATTTTGTATGGTCGAAAGGAATTTATCGCCCACACAAGTTTTGTTCTGTTTACTATTGAATTTGCCAGTTTGTTTCTGAGGCCCTAGAGATTAGTGCCCTAGAGATTAGTGCCTCGGTACTTCTTTTCTCTTGGTCAAGAATAATCTCACATCCAGGAAAGTGTGACTTTAGTAGTAAATCTAAAGCCTCCTCCTCTGTTTTTGTGAGTTCTCATTGTTGATTTTTCAGAAATCCCATGCATCCTTGCTTATCTCTAGAAATTCTAACATATTTCACATATCTGTACCTCGCACAAATGTTCTGAAAAATTCTCCATTTCATACTATTAGCCGCGTTGTGAATAGTGACATTGATATCTTCTCATGTAAACTCAGGGAAATAAAATGTCATTTCCTAACATAAAAAAAATGTATTGTATTGTATTTTACCTACTAGCTGTTTACTAATTTTTGTATATTTTGTACCACTTAGTCTATATAATGTATGTGTTCTTTTATTCCTGCTCTGTAATTGGGATTGCCTGCAGAGCATTGTAATAAATAAATAAATATCTCTGTAGAGTTTTCCTGAGTCTGGCACTTAAACTTATATACTTCAAATAGTGTCACACCTCTAAATATAAAAACACAAACTAATAAACCATGGTTTGACTTTTCATGTATTAATACCAAAAAGAACATGAAAGAATCTTTAAAAAATTGTAGAAGTTATAATTTTTCTGAAAATTCAAAACAAACTCACGTAAACTTAAAATCAGATTACAAAAACAAACATTAAATTACGAAGAAAAGATTACAAAGCTGAAATTATTATTAAATTGTCCAACTTGAATAATCTCAAAGAATTCTAGTAGCACATTGAATCGTAAAGTTCTACCAGTATGTATTTGGGAAATTTTTTATCAAAACATATCCTCCTAGAACAACGTTGACTCTTAGCTTTCAAGATGTCACTCACCCATTTCTAACAAATCTATTTTATTATTGTTTTTCTGTTTTATATCATTTTATCGCTGTATTACTGTATTCTTTTAAGTTTTTATTTACATAATATTTATTGTATATATTTTTTAAATTACATGCTCTATATTATGCTAAAGTTTGCTTTGCCAGCCAATGAGATGTAAATCTTCCGACAATTAAGCTATTTTGATTTAATAAACTTTAAACTAAAACAGCTATTTCTAAATACACCAGCAATATTTTAGTAATTTTATAATCATTAGGATTTAAGTTTAAGGTTTATTTTCATTTTCACGCATTGTTCACTGGCAAAATTTATTTTCGATGAGATGTAGACTTCTAAGTGATGCGATAATTTTAAAACAGCAGAACAATCATTTACATTTGTCTAAATTACATTTTGCAGATGACAGACTACTTCCGAGGAATGCTAATAGAGACATTGGAAGATATAGGCAAAACCACGACTCCAGAAGCTAAGATAACCAGTCTTCAGTTAGAAATAGAATCACTAAAGCACACGCATAATCTAGAAATGGCCGAAATGAGGAAAAACGTGTGCACGATTCTGAAAGACATACAAAGGAGTATTGTAGAAGAACGGGACAAAATCGTCGACGAAACTAGGGCGGCTTGTGAAAACGAAACTATAAGAAGGGTGGAATTGGCGAAATCGAAACAGTGGTAAGGTTTTTTTTAAGTCTGGAACTCCCGGTCAAATAAACAGAAATGGAATTTTTGGTTCTTAGCGTTTTTGACATGTGTCTGCAATACTATGCGAATTATCTTTCTCCAATAATTGTTTTCCTTTTAAAACTAAATATCTTGATTTATTTTAGGTGTGCAAATTGTCCGAAAGAGGCACAGTTCTATTGTTGTTGGAACACCAGTTATTGCGACTATCCCTGCCAGCAGAAGCACTGGCCGCATCACGCTGGAAAATGTACTCAGAGCATTGAAAAGGCTACAGGAACTGGTCCGGTACCGCCGCCGCGGACAGGCGTGCAACCAATAGTTTTAAGGCCGGCATTGACTGCTCCTAAGCCGATGGGGGTGAGTTTAATTGTTATCCGTTGCGGACATTATGAATGTAGGGAAAGGGACTAAAGTTAATTTAATTGTTAATGGTGTTAAATCTTTATAGGGTTGCCTGGTTGCTAAGTCAATCGGACGCTCCTTTCTAGATATAACTTCTTGGTTGTTTAAAATGTGTGTATACGTATATATAGTGTTTTATCAAAATAAACGTTTCTTTGATTGTTGTTTGTGTTTATTTTGCAGAGAATCATCGCTAAACCAGCCAAGGTTTACATGAACAAGGCAAATGCACCACAAAAACCCGTTAAGGTAAGCTATTGACGATTTGATTAAAAAACGACCGTTTTTTATCCATGTGCATGTGAGAAAATTTTATAAATATTACAATATTAAAATAATTATTTTGAATGAAGGTTATATTATTTGATATCCCAACCATGTAGAATAATTATTCTTCTGTCGCATATCACTACAAAAAAAATATGTTTCGAATTTCTTATTTACTTTGTCGAAACGTGACAGCTAATTATTCACTGAGGAGTAAATTATATCCGAACATAGAACACAAACAAATGTCAATTAGAAAATAGGTGAACACAAATATTTAAATTTCTTGAAGTTAAAATTATTGCTCGCCCTGGCATGAAAAATATGAGGAGATAATTGATAAAAGAAAAACGAAATTTTGATGTACCGACACCTTGACAATGACATGTCTTAATTTATTCACACATCGATTTTAAAATTATTAATTTGAACTATATCACACAATTTTAAATATGCTTGCCTAGAATCTAGGTAGGTATACTAGAAAAAAATGGAGATAATTTTTTTTTGTATGCCTCTGTTATTAATCGCTTTCAGAGTCACTGCTGCAATCATCCTCTGAAGTAGATTCATCAGACGATCCTGTATTTACAGTAAACACAAGAGAATTTATAGCATTATCCAGAATGTGCTCTTTTTTAATACATTCAAATTCGCATTTCTTTACATGTTCGAAAATAGAACACCATTTTTGAACGGAAACTTCAAAAATTTATTCCTGGCTAATTTCTCATCATCCAGTATAAATGTGGTATTGTGCACTGCCACTCAGTTCTTAACCAGTGGCCAGATTTTTTCTATTTGGTTGTATTTTGGATGATAACGTAGCAACCCATGTTCTTTCAGTAAACAGTCCAATTTATAGGAAACAGGAATATCTAACCGATTTTTTTTATTAATTCATACAAAGCTGGTTTTGTCTTATTGGCATCATGGTCAACTTTGTGGGCCCTTAACCATTTTAACATTTCTGCTTTCCTAGATGCTGAAGTAATATTTTTTTCAGTTTTTACGTTGTAAGAAGCATTTTATACAACCAGAATTGATTTCTCAGGCATATTGGGCAGCAGTTGTTCTTGAACCCACTTCATATAGTTTGAATGATTCATGTTACCATGGTAGTCTCCACTTTTAGAACCTAAAAAAAATGGAACAAATTTAATCTAGACCCACACGAAAATTTGCTATTTTGTTAACAAATTACATAATAATTAAACATTCAGTACACATATGAAGTGAAGGATTGAAAGTTTTATTTGAATGTAATTTAATACAAAAAAAAATAGTACAACATCTCATATTAAGACATTGTAAATTGTGTTGCCTAATTTGACTATTAGGATTATCTTTTATTATATATTGTTTTAAAACCAATGAAGAAACCATAAATAACAGTTATAATTTTCAAAAATGTATCTAAAAATTAGTACATGTTTTTCGTTATAGCCCAACATTTTTATGGATGCTAATGAAAATAGTTTTTTCACACATTCAAATTAAAGCATTTTTACTACTCTAGTCATTACTATTAAACAGTGTTTATCTCTAAACTAAGTTAAAACATGTTATACCTGATATATACAATGTTTATTAATATTTGGGATAATCGATACTTACAAAATAACACTTTTCAATATATGTAGAGACATACCTGAACGAAATTTTAATAAAGCATTAGGAATAAATCCTTTTTCTTCACCTGCATATATAATTACAAGTCTCGTTCCTTTTGAGATTGACTTCTTCAAACCTTTTCCTGATATACCATTCCTTAGATTGTACATGTTAGCTGTGAATGTATGTTTCATCAGTATATATATATATTCTAGCCTTCATTTCTATATTTAATAACATTTTCTAAGAAAGTAATTCTTTTGAGGCTAATATCATAGGATTCCACATAATCATCTTTCTGTTATCTTGTGTGCGCAGCCATCTACAATTCAAATCAAATTTATTTGTTTAAATATTAAAGTACATTACCTAATAGTAAAAAAAATAGTTATACAGAAAAAAAAATTCTTTAAAGACATCTGATTGAGCATCGAACCTAGGCATTTCTGCCTGTTTTGCTTCTGATCAATCAGATGACTCTATTTATGTATATATTTTTTTTTAGAGACAGGTATTAAATTTTACATATAATTATTTATTACTTTTGGCTTTTAATATGTTTTTTATTTATAATATGTTATCATTAGATCGTAAATTTTTTTTTTGTTTGTTATTAAATATTTTTTTATTTCAATTTTAAACTTTTTTGTTATGATTATTTGCCTGAGGTGTATCGGAACTATGTTAAAAAATTTTGGGCCAAAGAATGATAATGACCTTTGACTAAGTGATTTTTTGAAAAATTGTACAGGAATCTCCATATTAGCGACTGAGCGTGTTAAGCGGGTATTTTTTTGAGTAAAATTTTCAGCATTGATATATATTCTCATTATACATTGATAAGCAAAGAGTAATTTGACGTTTAGTATGTTCGATTCATCGTACAATTTATTTGTAGAAAATAGTCTCTCTTTTTTTAGGATAATTTTTAAAATAATATTTTGTGTTGTCTCTACAATTTTAATAGTGGTGTTAAATGCTCCACCCCATGCTACTATGCAATACCTTAATATAGATTCCACTAGGGAGTTATAAAGTATCATTATATTTTTCTTTGAAAGAATGTCCCGGAGAACATAAAATTTGTGCATTAGGGCTCTCAGTCTATTACTAACATGGACAATATGCTCAGACCACCGTATGTATTGATCAAGTATTACACCTAGGTATTTAATTTGAGAAACTTTTTCTATCAAGGGGCAGTTACAATCGCTTTTTTGACAGTCACTACTATGCAATTTTATACAAAAGCTGTTAGGTTGATTAACGATTGTTGAACTAAAAGTAATGCATTTTGTTTTCAATACATTTAAAGTTAAAGTTTCTTAGGGCCGTTTCTCCAGCGAGTTTAACCTCTTCCCATTCTTTTCCAGCGAAAATAATTACCGTATCATCCGCATAGCATATGATATTCCCAGATAAGTTATTAATTTGTGTAATGTTGTTCATATAAACCAGAAACAGAATTGGGCCCAATACTGTTCCTTGTGGGACCCCCATCTTTACTACTGATTTAGAACTTCCGGTGTTGCCAATTTTTACGCTCTGGGTTCTATTAGATAAATAATCCCTCAGGAGCCTTAATGCTAAACCCCGTATGCCATAGTTATTTAGTTTGTCAAGTAAAATGTTATGGGAAACGGTATCAAATGCTTTGGCCAAATCAAGAAATACTGCAGCACATTTTAATGTTTCATCTACAGCGTTAACCGTCTTTTCCAAAAAATCAACTACCGCATTTTCAGTGCTTGAGTTTTGTATAAAACCGTATTGACAATCTGTAATAACATTATGATTATGAAAAAAATTAATTAATCTACTTTTTACTGCATTTTCAAAAATTTTAGCGAAGTTGTTGATAACAGAAATTGGCCTATAATTTGTAAGCTCACTAGGGTCTCCGGATTTGTATACAGGTGTGACAATTGATTCCTTCCATTGACTTGGAATTTTTCCTGATTGAAAGCAAATATTAAGGATATGCGTTACAGGAAGAATAATATATTCATTTATATTTTTTATTGTAGTTGCTGTTAATTTATCTGGACCAGGTGCAGATTAACACATTATTTTTAATTAAATACTTATGCATGTTATTAATATTTTTAATGTCACAATGTCTATTCTAGTCCTATATTATTTTTTTCTTCTAAAAAGCCTACCAAAAGTAGCCTTCAACTTCAAAAATTACATACCTAAACCCCATACTTTTTAGCAGCCTCCATAAAGAAGTTTTACTTTGTGAAGAATACCTAGAAAAAAACTCTTTTCTATAAAAATTATAAAAATCTTTCAAGTCTAAAAAATGTTTACGGTTAAAAGTGAATTGACAGTTGTTTTTTGTGAATAATTTTAGTATCTGTCAATGGTACAATATAAAGAACCTGGTTTCAGACACTTAATACAAAAATAATCATTTTATTTCTACCAAACTTACATTTTAAACTAGGAGCCCTTTTTTCCAGGATGTAAAAATCATAAACAATCTCCTGAACCCTTTCCAGTTTTAGTGCTTCCAGTACTGATTTTTTTGCTTGGTCTCTTTTTTCGAGAAGATCCAAAGGAAGTACTTTTACTCGCACCAGTTGCTCTAAAGGTTGCATATATTAAAAACACTCGTATATTTTGCGAATTAAAGAAATGTAATAGCCTGTCCTGCAAGTATATCAAGACACATAGTTTTTTATTGTATAAAATGAAAAATATTTTCTTTACATGCAAAATATAAGTAAACACTCTTTGGCAAATTTCAATTACTTTTAAATTAGAATACTACTTTCCTGAAGAATTTTTAACAGTCTCAAAGTATTGGCACGTCACTGGTTAAGTGTTACAACGTAATTTATTTGTGCGTCCTTGGTGTTTTTTTTTTTGGTGTAAACTTATGTTTGAAAATTTTGTATTTGCTGCCAAGGTATTTATTATAACTCTAGTAGTCCCTGTGTATGTTCGGATAATGATAAATTACTTATATTGCGAATTTCAAGCATATAAACATTGCAAATATTAGTCAATAACAGTAATTTTTTTCCATCAATTTCTTATCACCTGCTGCGGTATTTTACATAGGCGTAGCTAGAAAATTTTATTAAAATAAATAAAATGCATGTTCGGGTATCATGCAAGTGCTGCAACCAGTCATATGAGAGTTACCAAATAGTTACATGCAGGTATGTGAACAGAAATTTATGCATACATGTGTCAATTTATCTGTAAACGAAGTACGTACGTTAAATGATAATAGAGGTTACGACTGGACCTCTATCGGTTGTAGAGCGATGTGAAAAGACATGAAAGATCTAAAAGCTTTAATTATCTAGCTTCAGAACGACATTAAGGATCTCGGAGATGAAAATCTTCGAATTGCT